GGTACTATGCCTTTGACGAATTCTTCGATTGCGATCATCGCGGATTGTGGATTGACATTGATCTTTCCGCCTCCTTGGGCAACTTCCAACCTCAGAAATCCAACTTCAAGCCACGGAAGTTGTCCCTACAAGACTCTCGATCTGTTCGCAAATATCTTTAATTGGTTCACAAAGGTTATGCCAAGTACTCCATCCCGGAGAGATTGAATAAGTTGAATAAGCGTATTGCTCACCTGGGCCACCAGATGACCCCTCCCTTGGTGCGCAAATACAACTGTTTACACAGAATACTGTGAGGCGCCAGGCGGAAGAGAAGTGCCGGGCCTTAGCTCTAGGTAAAGTTCCCTGGTCACCAAAAATGCAGGGATTCTGGGATCCTATCCAAAATGCGCACCATCCAGTTGATGAATTCCGAGGCCCAGGCAAACAATAAGAAGGCAGGACGTGCAGCCATGCAATTCGCCGAGGCGCACTCCTTGATACCTGACGGGCAATGCGGCTCACGCAAACGTCATCAAGCAATTGACCTGGCCTTGTCTAAACGATTAGTGTGGGATCTACTGATCCTTCGACGCCGCGCAGCGGGGTGGATCTCAAACGATGCCAAGTCCTGCTTTGACCGTGTTGTCCACTGGGTGGCCATCGTCACAATGTTGCGGTTTGGCTTGACATGGCGTGTCCTATCATCGATGTTCAACATGCTCTCCTCCGCTACCCACCGGGTTTGCACAGGTTTTGGTGACTCCAAGAGAAGCTTTCGCCCTCCGTCAGCGGTGCCATTCCAAGGTTGTGGGCAAGGGAATGGTGCCGGACCCCCATCTGGATTTCGGTGAGCTCGGTGTTAATTACAATGATGGGCAATGGATTTGAGTGTCTTTCGGCGTTAGAGTCACAACTAGTGACAGCCCAATGTTTCTGTTTTGTTGACGATACGGACATGACTGAAGCAGGTGACACGGTCCATCACTCTGGGGAGGACATTTGCGCCTCAGTCCAGGCTGCTGCCACCTTGTGGTCGGGGGGAATTTGGGCAACAGGTGGTGCAATCAATCCGGAGAAGTCCTTCTGGTGGCTTATTGACTTTGAATGGGATGCTCGCAATGGTCAGTGGAGATTCTGTAGGAAATGCTCCGCGGCACCGGAATTCGACCTTAAGATACCGGGGTTATACGGTGACATTGAACCCCTTCGTCGCCTTGAACCAGATGATTCCGAACGTACTCTGGGGGTGATGTTGTCGCCACTGGAAAATCACAAAGCACAGGAGGCACAGTTGGTCTCTAAAGCTAAAGAGTGGGCCGAACAGCTTTGGCCTCACCTGCTACACAAGTACGACGTGTTACCACTAATCCGGACCACAATCATGAAGGAGCTTGAATATCCTATGGCACTCACTACCCTCAACGCTCAACAATGGCAGGACATTATGTCACCGGTTCTCCAGGTGTGCTTACCTAAGTCAGGTGTTTGCCGCAACTTTCCCCGTTCGGTGGTCTTTGCCCTGGTGGATTATCAAGGCCTTGGTGTTCCTCATCCCTTTGGCAAGCAAGTGTACAAACACTTGGAGATGATCCTGCGCCATATGTCGGGGGGTACAAAGACTGGAGCCTACATGGACTCCAATCTCCAGGCTCACCAACTGGAATCTGGTACCTCCTTTGGTCTTCTACAGCAAGATTACCAGAATACATCCATTCTGGCTTCTGATACCTGGCTTAAACGGGTATGGAAGGAACTTGAATCTCTGGATATGTACATGGCCTTTGACTCTCCGGCCCTATCTTTAAGGTGTCATCATGACGCCCTCCTGATTGACTTGTTCATGGATCTTGAGGTTGATCAGGACGACCTTCTCTGGCTTAACTGGTGCCGGATGTTCCTGCAAGTTGCCACAGTATCAGATATCACCACGGCTGATGGCCGCTATATCCGGCAATGCATCTGGAACGGTTTTCGCGACGATACTTATCGGACTCCATATAACTGGCCTCGAACGGTACGATTCGGGCGTCCATATTGGGAACTCTGGCAAAGAACACTGTCCCGCGCGCTCTTGCCTTCACACGGTCAGCACCACCCTCTGCTCCAACCCCTGGGACATTGGCACGACAACTTTGAGTCTTGGAACTGG